ACCGTCCTTCAGCCCCAGCTCTCCTGACCCTTTGGTTTAACAGCACACGGCCACTCCTGCCGAGGCACCAGAAATCCTAACAGCCATTAAACTGTCTGCAAGAGCTCCATGCACGGTCCAAAGGGCTCCCCAACCCCATAGCTTTAAAAAGCTGCTGACGGAAAAACAACAGGCCAAATGCATCCAGGGAGTAACCCTTCCAAGCCAGGGACTCGCCCAGGGACCAACCTAGCCCCTTCTCTTTGGAAGCGATTTCTGGACAGGCATCAGAGGTTTTCCAGTCTCTCCCTCTTTATTACATGCAAAGATTTACTTGCAAAGAGCTGCTTCGGTTTCTCGAAGCCAAGGCAGCCGTGCTGCCTATTCCCCCACCTGAAAAAGCCATCCCCTTCCTCCTGACCTCATCCCAACTGTTGCCACAACAACCCCCGGCGACGTCACTGGCGGAGGATTAGGGCTTCAGGTGGGGAAGGAGCAGCAGGAGTAGCCGAGGCGACAGCCAGAAAGGAAATGAAGGGAGACGGGGGGAGAAGGAAAACTCAGCAACAGCCCAGCACCAAGACAGGGGATGGCTTCCAGATTGCAGGTCCGGTCGGTCCCACACCGGGGATGCTACAGAGCCATGTGGGGATGCCTTGGGCCCAGAGAGCCCAAGGCTCGAGGTGGAGCAGGGGAAGCCCCTTGAGCCATCACCCACTCCTCTTGCTGCCACTGCACTGCTCTTCGCTCCAGTCTCCGGGGAAGGGCTGCCTTGCTTGGGTGAGCATCTCGCTCCAGAGGTGCCGAGGGCTGGGTTGGCTAATACTCATTTCTTCTTGCTTCAGGATCAAGCCCGTCTTATGTTTTATTAAGGTTTTTTTTCCCCTCCCCAAGAAAACTTTTTGTAGAAAATTCTCTGGGACTCGAGAAACAACTTGCCAACAGCATTTGTGAGGTGGATCGGAGACATGTCTCTACAGCGATACCTAAAGGATGGTGCTGGGGAAGGCACAGCTCTCTTTACGTAGATCTCTGTTTTCAGACAAGTCCAGTCTGACAAAAAAAACCAACAGAACCAAACCCAGCCCTAACACCTTTCGCACGGAGCAACCCAAGGGGATGCGGCTGCATCCTCCTGGAGAGCACGGTACCCGTGGCTCAGCCTCCTGGCCCTGTGCCTCAGAGGGTTTCAATCCTGTCCCAGCTAGGCGTGGGTGCTTGCCCCATGTTTGCCACCCCTGCTCGCACAGCCCCTGCCTGCAGCCCCTCTGCTCTTCTCCAGCCCAGTTCACCATCCAGCCTCTGCCAGGGGCTCTCCCCTTCCCCAGCTTTTACTGGCACTTTATGCACAGGGAGATTAAAAACTCCGCAAGTTGGTTTGTCGGAGGTGCTGAGCGCAGGGCCTGCAGAGAGCAGCGGCTGCTCAGCACCTCTGCCTGCCAGCCGGTTTGTTTTTAACCCTCCTGGGTTTACCAAAGCCAACTCAAAGAGGGAGACGGGGCAGCGGCCCTGGTGAGGCGATGCTGGCGGCAGGCTGAGAGCACAAGCAGGAGATGGTCTTGCTCGCAGAGGGCATCAGCCCCAGTACAAACACTGAGTTAAAGGCTGGACTCAATGATCTTAAAGGTCTTTTCCAACCTAAATGATTCTATGATTCCGCGAGCTCTCGGGGACCGGCAAACCCCAGCATCAGCTACCGGCGAGAGCCGCGTTGTGTGCAGGGTGGTTCCTACATCCCGAAGCTGGAGCCCAAAACAGCAGCGGGGCTACGAGCGGCGCGGCTGGGTGCGCTC